CCTGGGAAAGCAGCCGAGGACGGCCCAAAGCCTTGGGACCTAGCCCCCCTGTGGGAGACCTGGAAGAAATTCTGGCTCCTGGCTTCAAATTGGCTTAGTTCTGACCATTGCAGCCACTTGGGGAGTGAATCAATGGATGGAAGATTTTCTTCTCTGTCTGTTCTTCTCTTTGTATGTCTGCCTTTCCAATAAAAATAAAATAAATAAACCCTTAACAGAAAAATAAATGAATAAATAAATATCAAGAATGAGGATCTCTTTAGAGACCTCAAAATTGTCCATGTCCACCTTGCTTCAGCAATGTCATTTACATTTGCGGCACTTAGGTGTCCTCCCCTTCCCCTGGGATGTCCCAACTGAGCCATGTTAGGAGTTGGTGTCACTCTGCTCCTGCCTTCTGGGGTAGTATTGTCTTGAAAGTTTGCTGATTGTACTGATATAGGAGTCCTGTAAAAATTTTAAGAGTGGTAGAGAACAAATTTCATAAACAGTTGAATTGTAGAACACTGTGAAAGCGTATATTGTAAAAAGCTGAAGCTGAAGGGTGCATTTAGCCCAAGGATTAGATCCTTGCTTGAGAAAGCCCACATCCTATGTCATACCTTCAGGTTCAAGGTCTGGCTCTGCTTTATATCCAACTTTCTGCTGAAGTACATCCTAGGAGACAGCAGGTGATGGCTCAAGTATTGGGGTCCCTTCCACCATAGAAAACCTGGATGGAGTTCCTGTCTCCTGGCTTCAGCCTGGTCCTGCTTGGCTGTTTTAGGCATTTGGGGAGTAAGCCAGCAAATGAAAGATTCAGCTCTCTTTTTTGTTCCCCTTCTCAAGTAAAATGAAGAGAATTCATTTTAACACTTGGAGGAAAAATATTAAAAATTATTAAAATTTAAAAATTTAACATTAAAAATATTTTTAAAATGTTAATAGGTTTTGAATCAAGAGGGGGTAAAAATTCTTTGAGAGAAAACCTTTTTAGGGAGATGGTTCCTGTGTTCTAGAATTGGTCTTTAGTGCCCTCTATTGGTGATTTCATTTAAAAAACCATTTTGATTGTTGAACACAGTGCTCCCTGGCAGTGTTATTTACCAAAAAGAAGAAAAATTAGAGTGTTAAAAATGATGATAAAAGATGCTAAAATAAACTGGCCTTTCAAAATCTAGTTGGAGCCCTTGCAGATTGGATAGAGATTCTTGTGAAATATATTTAGAACATTTGGTTTTAATGTAATACACATATGTCATTGTGGACTATTTTCATAAAAATGGGCTTTTCTATTGAGAAGTAGCCTGAGTTGAGTTGAAGTTTGCACATTTTTTATGTATCAAAACCTCCAGAATAGCTACTGCCCCAATAGGCAGCAGCAGTAGCTGTTTTTCTGTGGTGTGGCTGCTACATGTGATGGCCATGAAAGGAAGTGACTGTTGCTCATTACAGCCATTTCATTCAGCTATGTGGGAGATCACACAGTCAGGGAAGTCATCATGGCAAATGAAGTAGTGATTACAGATAATGGGGCATTTGCAAAGGTGGCGGGCTGTCTTTCATTCTTTTTTAATTCCTTCTCCAAATGATAAAGAGATTGCCTTTAGTTTCTTTCCTCCAGGAAAAAGTGGGAAGAGTGGAATAGATTTAGTGGTGAGAATAACTGGAAGTCTAAATCAGAATAAATGTTAGCAAGCCGGCACACCTGGCACTGGTTTAAGGTCTAAAAATGTGTGCGCTTTGTGTAAATAAGTGCTCACGGTGACTTTTCTACAATAACGGGATCTATTAATCTTTCAAGAGTAAAACTGTGTTTTCATTATTTCTTGGTGACTCTTCCTTTGAAATTTTTCCAATTACCATTTCAACCAGTTGCATTTTGAAAACCTATTCACCTATGTGAGTTAAAAATAGTACTTTTTGATTAGGTGTTATATGAAGCTGTATTTATTGCTCACAAACCACTGAGTGAAATCATTTATTTTCCTTTGCTATATTTTACTGTTTCAGTTCTCTCTAAGAAAGATAAGTCATTATTAATATGAATAATGCCAGCTGCTTTCTCTGTGTTACACGAGAGGAATACGCTCTTGCAGAGTTCCCCTTCCTTGCCGATAAAAAAGCCTTTCATCAAAAACTGACATCCAAAATGAAGGACATAATTGTCTAGCTTATTTATTAGTGTGTCAAGCTTAAAATGTAAAGGTTTCATATTTCAGAATGAAAAGTGTGTTGTGATTCATGGTTGCTGGTGACAAAGTAGACAGCTCTTTTATAGCGCTTGCTGATGGCCTGCTGATGTGCCACTGCGCTTTCTGTTTCTCTGTACAATAGCTCCCTCTACTTGAAAATATTGGTGTCATTACAGCTCATTGCTATGTACTTTATTAGTGAGTTTCCATGACTGTCTTACTTTTAATCCTTTTCGTAACTATGTAGTGATAATTCAGAACATTTCCATGATGCTCTTGAGTTGGGGGATAGAGAGGCAAAGTTAGTTCAGGAAAGCAAAAGTCTGAATCATTTATTCAGGGAATTAGGGAATTAATTGTGTGTTCTGTGTTGATTCAAATACTGGGTGTTAGAATTAATCAGATTTTCACACTGTATCTTGAAAATGAAATGTGATGTCTGAAATACGGGTACAGAAGATTGGAAGAGAAAATTCAAAGGAAGCATCAAGTTCTTTGGGGAATCCTGGGACTTGGCAGTTCTCACTGTGCTAATTCCAAAATCATATAGTTTGAACACCAAAACTTGGCATTTTATTCTCTCTGGTCTCTCAGAAAGGCCTGAATAGACGTAGTAGCTGTAGAGTCTCATGCCACTCCACCTTGTCTTCGTGGGATAGTTTGTGTATTTAAACTGTAAGAGCATCACAGACAAAGCAGAGCACATGCTGCTGTGATTAGGGTTTCCCTCTATATTCTTTGCCCTGACAAATTTAAGATTCAATACTGCAGCCGTGCCCTCCACCATTAGGACAGATTAGGAGCTTCTCTTACCTTTAAGATTTCCATGTGAGTATGCCTGTCTCCTTCCTTCACAGATTTGTTTTCAAATCTTGATATTACTATAACAATAATGTCGTATTATTAACAGGATCATATTGTTAATGTAATATAATAATAATTAATATGATAAGCACCAGAACTTGATGATCAAGAGTAGAACTTGAAAGCCACATGGCCTTGTTGAATTCTGGCTTTGCCACTTACCAGCCAGGTATCATGGGCTCATATTCTTAACTTTTTTCTCTTCTTGTAAGAGTTCTAGGAGATGGTATTGTAGTGGGGCAGGTAAAGCCACCTGTGACAGCAGCATTTCGAATCAGTGCTGATTTGTGTCCTGGCTCCTTAGGTCCTCTACTTCTTATCCTAGTGATGGGTTTGGAAAGCAACAGAAAATGGCATTAGTACTTGAGCCTCTGTAACTCACATGGGAGACCTGGAAGAAGCTCCTGGCTTAGACCTTGCCCATCACCAGTTTTTTCAGCCATTTGGGAAGTGAACTGGTAGATGGAAGATCTTCCTTTCTCCCTCTCTCTGTACATCTGACTTTCAAATAAACAAATATATTTTTAAAGAAAAAAGTTTCTGCATTTGAAAGACAGACTTCTATAGAGAGACAGAGGCAAAGGGATCTTTGATCTGCTGGTTCACTCCCCAGTGGCCACAATGGCCACAGCTGGGCCAGGCCAAAGTAAGGATCTAGGAACTCCTATGGGGTCTTCAATGTGTGTGGCATGGATCCAAGTATTTAAGTCATCTTTGCTTTTCCGGGTGCTTTTACAGAGAGCTGGATCAGAAGTATAACTTGATTAGAATGGGGTCTTAAACCAGTGCTCCAACCTCAGATGCTGGCATCCCAGCTGGCGACTTAACCTGTGGCACCACAATACCAGTCCCCTTACTCACTGAGCTTTCTGAGCTTGTTTCCTCACTGGTAAAACACAGATGATGAACCCGCCTACATCCTGGAGTAAATCTTGCAAGAGTTAGATGAATTGCTAATGTCAAGCCTAGCACAGAAGAAATGCTATAAATCAACTTGTTATATAAAATAAAAATAGATAATAAAGTTATGAATTTGTTTTCATTAACCACATGTATTGATACATTGTTGTTATCTTCAGTGCTTAATGAAAACAAATACAGTGTCTACCTAGTGAGGGAGACTTGCACATTGATTTTGCTCACAAAGTCATACTCATTTCTATGTGTTTGAACAGTGTTGATCAGGGAGCACCTAAACCACATCATAATTTTAGGTTATGCTGCTTCTCAATGTGCACTTTTTTGTGATGTGTTGGAATGCTGTATGGGTTCCATAACTTTTCCAAACTTGAGTGGTTTAACATTAGTTTTCTACACTGGTAAATGCAAAAGAATATAGTATCATCTGCTAAAATGTGTCTGTCCTTGAGCCTGTTTGTGACCCAAAAGGGGCCTGTCTGTGTTTCATACTAAGTTAATGCTTGTGAATATTCACCATTCCCAAACCTGTTGGTAACCAACAGATTGTCAATTACCAAAAGTTTAAAAAAAGTTACTCATGTTTTGAGTGTTCAGTTACGGAGTTAAAGTTGTTTTATCTTTTGGGGTAGAATCCTGTGTGGGTGCCAGTTCAAGTCCTGGCTGTTCCATTTCTCATCTAGCTCTAGGCAGTGGAAGATGCCCTCTTTGTACCTTGTGGGGGTTCTGGATGAAGCTCCTGGCTTCAAACTGGTCCAACTCTGGCTGTTAAAACCATCTGCAGGAGTGAACCAGGAGATGGACCATCAATTTCTCTCTGCCTTGCTCTAACTCTACCTCTCAAATAAATAACGATTTTAAACAAAAGATTATATCTTCACCTTGACCCAAGCTGATATTTTTGTGTATGTCTAGTGTGAGAGTTTATTTTACTTTTTTGGAAGAGAGTCACCAAAATGCTGAGCACAGTGAGACTCATGAGTATACCTAAGGCTATTTGTCTTCATCACACTGATTCCTCTGCTTTATTTGCTTGGTTGGTAGGACCCGTTAGACCCCACAGGGTCAGTGATTGTGATCCGCTCCCTGGTGGCAGATGGCGTGGCAGAACGGAGTGGAGAACTATTACCCGGAGACCGCTTGGTTTCAGTCAATGACCACTCTCTGGAAAATGCCACACTGGCCGAAGCTGTGGAAGTGTTGAAAGCTGTACCGCCAGGCACTGTACGCCTTGGCATCTGTAAGCCTTTGGTGGTAAGTGTTGAATTTTGTTATTCTAAGGATGTGGCTTTTGGACAGAAATACATTTGGCCTTGAATACCAGATCTACTACATCCTGTGTGTGTGAACTTACACAGTTAGAAAAATAACATCTATTTCCTAGGGTTGTGAGAATTTAAGAAGAATTATATTCATAAAGTGCTTAGCACATTGTTGTATAAGTGCTAGTTGCTAATACTACTAGTTAAGCTACTGCCACTTTTGTTGCTTCATCTCTGTGATTTTAGCACAGACTTTTAAGTGTGTATCATGTTCCTCTTTGGACATTTAAGTAAGTATTTTTGTATCTTTGCTTTAGGAATGAGATCAAGATGGCATACTAATCTGAAATTCAATTAACCATTTCACAGGGTGATGAGATTTCACCATAGGGTGATGAGATTTCAGTATGCTTTTCTGACCATGAGAGCATGTGCCATGCCTACTGTTAGATGCCTGCCAGGTTGAGCCATCATGAAGTTGTCTTGTTGGTTACTCTTATGTATGGAGTGAGGTTACTATTTAGGAGCAAATGCTTCAGTGCAATTGTGCTGTTGAGGTCTCTGGAGTAAAATGAACAAAACCAACAGCCCATGTTTAACTGTTTTGAGTATTTGCTCTATGTCAGGTTGTCTTTTAAGCCCCTTTACTTGTATTAGCTAATTCCATCCTCCTTGCCACTTTAAGAGAAATGGTCCTCTTGTTACCTTTACTGCTAATAAGTCGGCCCAGGTGCAGTAGCTGATTCAAGGTCATCGGCTAGTAAAGAGCAAAGTTGGAATAAGGACCCTGCGGGGAAGACTCACACGCTGTGTGCCACAGTGCTCTGTGTTCCCGTTTTAGTATGTCACTTATTTGGTTTGTGTGCAGTGTAAAATAGGCAGAATTGTTATAAACAGTGTTGGAATAGATTTTGAGAAACTTGAGCTTTGTTTCTAGCTTTGCCAAGAGTTAGTTTAATGAATTTCAGATTTAAGAGATAGGCAATATGTGTAAGAACTACATGAGTAGTTAATATGCTTCCCAGTACTCACGCTCAGAGAAACTTGGTAATTCTGGTATGTTTTCAGGAACCTGCATCATGAACGGATCATATATGTGATTCTTGAGCAGAATTTTGCATTTTGAGAAGCATTTGTACTGATACTTTAATAAAGAGATATACCATTTTTCTAGGCCTATATTTCTTCATTTCTGGACAAGACTAGTGAACTCTATTTTTCTTAGTTTGACTTTCTTTTTAAATAAAATGAGGGCAAACACTAGTGATACTTTCATGGGACCTGATCTTAGTATTTTAGTATATAGCAGAAACTTAGACTTGATTTATCTACCTGATTATTTCCCAGATTATTATGCATGCATTGGGAAATCCCAAACTATTTTTACTATTTCTGTCATGTAGAGCTTAGCACAACCTTGGCCATTGTAATTGTTTTGAGAAGTGCCAGGCAATGTAACCAAAAAAAACAAACAAAAAAAAGACTTAGTACCAGGTGGATGTGGAGTGCTGTGCTATTTTGGGAAGGAGAGAACCGTAGAAACCCCAGAACCTCAAAGTATTACTCTGGAGTGTTTGTGCTTTGGGAGATAAAAATCATGCCTGGAACTTTCCCCAGGCTTCTCTCAGTTAGGCAAGGCTGCCAGGATTCCTAGGAATGGAAGTCCAAAAAAGAAATTGAAAAAAAGATCAATTTCAAGATTTAAAAAATGTTTTCTTCTTTACTCCTTACTCCTGTTTTTAATATCTGGTTTCTGTTAACAAAACTACTCATGAGCAGTAAATATTGATTCAAGGATCCTGATCTAGGCCTTCTCTGAAGTTTCTTCCGTGTCATGGTGCAGTTTTTGGGCACTTATCTAATCCGCTAATGCACACTAAGCCTTTCCTCCGTCCCTGGCTAAAGGGGGGTAAAAGATTCAAAGTCAGACAAATATTGGTGATAGGGCAAAGTTATTTTTATTGTCTTGTATAACAAAGGTGTATATTACTTACTTATGTATATACCTTATGTTTTACATTTTCTTCCTTACAGTGAATGTGACTTATATTCTTCTTTCTGTAAACTTACTTCAAAACATACTGCATCCTCAGAATGAATGATCTGACTTTAAAACTTTTGTGATGTCTTCAGAACTAACAAAGTGTGATACCAAAGCAGCCGTGGAGCCAGACAGCTGGGGCTTTGCTTGGTGCTGTGGTTAGCCTGCAGTGTGTCCGTGGTGCAGTCATTTCACTGCACCCGCTCCCGCCCTGCTCAGCATGTCAGGGTAGTTGAGAATGCTCACCCTAGAGCAGACAGCCAGCTTCACGTGCTGGGTGTATAACTAACAAATTACATAAGACTGGGCAAATTATTGTCATGTCATCAATAAAGTGATAATAGCACATACATCTTGGAGTATATGTTAAATAAGTATAATTAACATTATGATTAATGGGCCCGGTGCCGTGGCCTATTGGCTAAAGTCTTTGCCTTGAACACGTTGGGATCCCATATGGGCGCCGGTTCTAATACCGGCAGCTCCACTTCCCATCCAGCTCCCTGCTTGTGGCCCGGGAAAGCAGTCGAGGATGGCCCAAAACCTTGGGACCCTGCACCTGTGTGGGATACCCGGAAGAAATTCCTGGATCCTGGCTTCGGATCGGCATAGCACCAGCCGTTGCACTCACTTGGGGTAGTGAATCATCGGAGGGAAGATCTTCCTCTCTGTCTCTCCTCCTCTCTGTACATCTGACTTTCCAATAAATAAATGAATCTTTAAAAAAAAACATTATGATTGACCCATAAATAACTAGATTGCAATAGTCATTCTGTTGTGTAGACAAGGTCTCTTCCTAGGAGATTGTGTTTTTCTGTTTTTACCTGTATGTTTTTATTTGAAAGAGATAGATTCTCTTGTCCACTGGTTTACTCCCCCAAATGCCTGTAGTAACAAGGCTGACAGCGCTGCGAGTTTGGAACTCAGTCTGGGTCTCCCACATGAGTAAGGTGGCAGGGACCCAACTCCATGAGCCATTATCTGCTGCTTCTCATGATAGGCAATAACAGGAGGCTGGAATGAGGAGTGGAGGCAGAACTAAAACCCAAACACCAGTATGGAATCTGGACACCCTAGTCAGTGTCCTAATCACTGTGCCAAAAGTCTGCCCCTGCATGTTCCTTAAGAAATGCAAGCTTTGACCTAAATATGACATTGATTTTAGATTGTTAATGACAGTTTATTCCAAGGAAACAATTTGCATAAATTTTGTCATGTACTTGCCACAAGAAGAGAATTAATCTGAAGAGAGTTTGAAGTTAAGGTATTTTCTTTTTTTCTTCATTTTGTTATTATACAGAGAAAATTTTCATGCATTTCAGATGTACCATGTTAATCCCATAATAATAATAATACCTCTCACCGTAACTTCCTACTCCTTCCTTCCTTTTTTTCTTTGGCTTTTAACTTGAGTGCTAACAGACTTTCAGTTTACTTTATGATCACAGGCTTAATTCTCTTCTAAATAAAGGCTTCAGAAAGAAGAAAATAGAAAGGCCATTGTTCTGCAGGCTTATAGAGAAGGGCTATAAATGAATCAAATCTCAGGATGTCAGTTTTATTTCTATATATTGCAGTTTTTCCTACTATGTATTAAATGTCATAAATCAGAGAAAATGTGATGTTTGTCTTTTGGGGTCTGACTATGGTACGATATTTTCTTGATTGTAATGTGGTTTGTATTTTCAGGAAGATGGTAAAGAAGAAAACTGTCATATTTTACATTCAAGCAGTAATGAAGATGAGACTGAACCTCCAGAAACAATTCATGATATAAATTCTTCTTTAATACTGGAAGCACCCAAGGTATTTAATAAATTTATTTTCTGTTTGAATGATTTGCTATGAGCTAAAATTTCTGTAAAGGAGATGAAAATTTGTCCTCACTCTCTTGGCTATATTTTGTAAAATTAATCCCCTTTGGCTATTATGATTTTTTAAAACTAAAACAGTTTTCCTCTGTTCTGCTGCTTCTCTTAATGATGCAGGCAAAATATAAGGCATTGTCAAAGAATAACCAGACTTTTTAAAAGATTTATTTATTTTTATTGCAAAGACAGATGTACAGAGAAAAGGAGGTACAGAGAGAAAGATATTCCGTCTATTGACTCACTCCCCAAGTGGCCACAACAGCCAGAGCTAAGCCACACTGAAGTCAGAGGCTTCCTCCAGGTGTCCCACATGGGTGCAGGGTCTCAAGTTCTTGGACCATCCTCAACTGCTTTCCCAGGCCACAGGTGGGGAGCTGGATGGGAAGCTTAGCATCCAGGACATGAACTGCACCCAAATGTGATCCTGGTGCATGCAAGGCAAGGAGTTTAGACACTGGGCTATTTGCCGGGCCTGTATAGACCTTATTTTATATTGTCAATATGTTTCTAAACGTTTTGGGTGGAGGGGTGGTTGGAACACTCTATTAAGAATAAATCTGCATTTATAAGATGATGTATGTGTTGCTTAAGCCATAGGTGGTATGGGTTGGTTGGCCTTTGCCACAGCATCAGGTAGCAGATGCTGGCATGGGATGGTGTGGAACTCTGTCAAACTAAACTGCAGTACCACCCGGACAGTGCAAGATCCAGGGGTGGGAGTGGGTTCATTAGGGAAACATTAGGAGGGCACCTCCCTCTTGGGTTGCCAATCCAGCTGGTGAGCATAAGAACCAAGACTGGGGCATGGATGTCTAAATAGAGCGTGGCACTTGCCAGCACATGTGTGGGCTGGATAGTGGGGTTAATTGGGTTGAACTAGGCTTCAAAGCACATTGATACATATGAGAACTGATTGGGATGTGGGACAGACTGGACCAGTCTGCTACGCACACTGGCAAGCATGGGAACCAGGGCAGGAGGTGGGCCTAGTAGGGATTTTTGTGGATCACTCCTACTTGACTACAATTCCCACTGGTTTGTGTAGGGGCTGAGTGTGTATGGGCAGAATCAGGCTGGATTGCAACACCCATTAGTTTGCGTAGAAGACAGGGCTGGAGGCAATTGACCCAGCAATCGGAATCGGAACTAACAGTGTGGGTGTAGGCTGCTTTGGGCAACCAACTGTGCGGGACCGTGTATTGGCAAACACACACAAGAATCAGATCTGGGATTACCTCAGATGAAGTTTCTATGGGAATCCCCCCCAACTGAACTGCTGGGCTCAAAACTCCAACCATGCAGGAAAATTAAGGTTCCATAGTCTGGCCACGGAATGAATGTGTCAGAGCTGGGCCTCCTCAGAGGTTTAGATGGAGCAGTGGACAGCTTATTCAGATGCAAATGGAGGATTTGTCAGTACACTGGAGCCTGCAGAGGACAACTGGTACCATAAAAGAGAAAGAAGGACAGAACAAATTGATCAACTAACCCAGACAAGAGTCGGCAGTGAATATCTGGGCAGACAGAGACTCTAAGATGGATTGTGTCAGCCAGTGGAGTTTGGAAAGATTTCATCATGATTGGAGTGGCAAGATTGGCAACAATACAGAACTGTTAAACTCAAAACCCCTTGAGCAGGACCCTTGTGGTATACCCCACATTGGGACCCAGGGATGGGTGGGAGGCTGAGTGTGGCTTCTCCTCTTATATCTACCCTCCCCCCAAATGCAGGAACGAAAAAAAGAGAATGTTAAAATAGTCTCACACCTACTTTCCCCTAGCCCTTGACTGTTTGCACCCTAATCAAATATGTAAAAACTATCAAAAATGAAATTTGTACAAAAAAATGATATATGTGAATAATTTTCATCTTTTTTCTTAAAGGTATTTTTTGGGGGGTTGGTTTGTTGTAATTTTGAAGGCAGGATGACACAGACAGGAGGAAAGACAGAAATAGAGGGAGATTCTGCCATTTGATGGCTTACTCCCCAAAGGGCACCCTGGCCAGACATGGGCCAAGCCAAAGCCTGGAACCCAGAACTTCTTTCCACCTCACACATGGGTGCAAGAATTTAGAAAGTCCATGTGATACTTTGGACACTAATCAGGAACAAGCTTCTGTATTGTACTGTTAGAATCAATGATATATTTGTTATTCTGATCATGAATTTAAAAGTATAGTGTTTTCATTCCTTTTTCACATAGTAATACTCGAAGTAAAGCTTTTTTTTGAGTTTTCACATAGTTTCTTTTGATTGTTCCGGCTTTAGAATTCTGAGCTTTCAAGTATTTTCTTTCTTAAGTAATAGTATGGGAGTGTGCTCATGTTTATGTAACACCTTTCTTCTTTTTTTTAAACTTCTTTTTATTATTATTTTATGATACAGTTCCATAGGCCCTGGGATTTCCCTTATCCCCTACCCAATTCCCTCCCTCCTCACTGAGTTCCCTGTATCATTACTGTAGTATAGTTCTTCTTACACAGTTGTATGTCCATTATTGCAGGCATGGACAATGGCAGAGAGTCCGGCATCCTATTGTTAGGATATAGTTAGCAGTTTCATTGCGAGTCCATCCTCTGTTTCTAATGGGTATTTTCAGGTGGTTAATGTGTAATTAGAATAACACTTCACCTTTCAAAGGTAGATTTCTATCTCTTGTTTTATTGTTTGTTCCTGTTACAGCTGATGGTATATGGAAATGAGCTTATGTTTTTCTTGTGTGTAATGGACACATGCAGCTCATGTTCACTCTAGCTGTCATTGACATACAAGAAAATGCATCATTGTTATATCAGTTTTTGATTTCCCAGTGATTATATGTAGTACAACCTTAAGGCAAATAGTTAACTTTTTTTTTTTTTTTTTTTTTGCAATTTTCATTGGTAGGAATTTAGAGATGAGCCATATTATAAAGAAGAAATCGTGGATGAACCATTTATAGATTTGGGAAACACTTTCCAGTCCCAACCGAAAGAGACAGAGCACAGCGAAGAGGCCTGGGAAATGCATGAATTTCTGACTCCTCAGTTGCAGGATGCTGGTGAGGAAAGAGAAATGCTTGTAGATGAAGAATATGAGCTGTATCAAGATCGTCTTCAGTCCATGGAGTTGTATTCCTCATCACGTCTTGAAGAAGCTAATCCTGTACCCTCTGTGAATGAGCTCCACTTTGATACACAGTGGCACTGCAGTGAGCTGCCTGAGTCTCATAAAGCAGGATTGGCCAGGAATATGTATTCCCAGGAGACACAGCCATATGGCTGTGACACTGAAAACATGGTAAGGGGTTGAGATAGTTTGCCTTGTCCATGTCTTCCCACTCTGTTCTCCCTGTCCATTCTTGTTCCTGACTTCTTGGCAACTTGGCAGTAAGGCATTCCATTTTGATAGGGTCTTCTTGCCAGTAAATCTTATTTTTTATAAAAGTGTGTTCATCAGTTACCAATTATTACATTTTCATTAGGAATATTTTTTAGTGTTTTACTTTTACTTATTTCCCAACTTGATGAAACTATCAGGCAAATGAAAGACATCTACTTTTTAAAAATGGTCTATTTATTTGTTTGAAAGTCAGAGTTATACAATGAGAGGAATTTACCCAACTACAAGGAGATCTGAGGTATAACCCCTTCCAATATATAAACTTAAGAATATAGATGAAACCGTGAAACATAGATTCATAATAATTATTTCATAAGTTTAGTCAGATAATCATCCAGTAAAACTTACACATCTACATTCTCACTTTTAGTGACCTAAGTATTGAAATTCTTTCATTATATTTAATGTCACTGCCTATATTATCACTGAGGTCATTTTTTGATTATTATACACAACTTCCTGAATTTGTCATCTTCATTTCTGTTTAGATTGTTTGAAATAATGCAGCTTTTGAATTCCTACTATCACTCAAAATTTTATCCTTATCATAAGTACTTATTTGAGTAACACATTTTTAAACTACCTGTTTAAAATTTTTTTTAAATTTTTCTTTTTAATATTATTTACATAGTTGAGAGGGTTGCACAACTTTGTGGAACTCTGATCATGGTTGGGAGGATTGATGTTTGGAGGAAGGTGAATGGGACAAATGTTTCGTTTTTTTTTCTCCTGTGTCTGCTGGGTGGGAAGGGTTGTTCCTTGCTGGCAAACTACATCAGTACATGGGCGTAGGGTATATTCCTTTGATGATGCTTCAATGCAATGAAAAATTTTCAAATGCAGCTGGAATTAGTTACTTTATAAAATGGATGGCATAAAGAATAAACTGAAAATAAACCCAAAAGAATATGAGGAGGCTAATAAGATATGATAAGTTTTGTAAGGTATTCTCTCGGTCTCAACTTCTCCCCTTGAAGAAGAGGATGTTGGCTTTTCTTCTGATCTAGGGAAAGTATTATTCTTGTGAGATTTTATCTTTTGCTTTTAAGAAACTGCAGGAAAATCAAAGTGATCTTTTTGTACCTATGGTTTCTCAAGTGTCTCTTAGCAGTCATATGACAGTAGAGAATACTTTAACCCCTTCAGGAATTAGCATTTTGGCACAGGAATCCTGAGAGAGCACAAACATTTTAGCATCCCGGCAATCTGTAGCTTTGGAGAACCATGAAAAGCAAGCCCATGGAATGAGGATAATAGGAAAGTGAGCTAAGTTAACCCAGTGCTTACCATAGCTTTTAGATTGGGGTTACCAGGTATTCATCAAGCAGATAGGAGTGCTGGAGAAGAAGGCACAGCAAAAATTGAGCTCATCAAAACTCACTGTGTCTCTGGGCTCAGCAGAGAAGCTCTTTAAAACTGTGGCTGTGGGAGGCATGTCACCCCTGAGTTGGCCATTAGCATTGACCTGCTTGGTTTCTGGGTCTTTTATTCTTCTGTCTTGATGAATATTTATTCCCCTTTAAGATTAGTAAGGCAGTTTTGTTGTTGTTGTTGTTTTTTCTTAAGTCCAGCGTTTGGAGAAGACAGGTTTTACTAGGTGGAACCTCACACTTAGAACGTTGCAGCCTTTGTTACTGCCTGCCGCAGAATCAAGTCACCCAGGACTGCCTGTTTGCAGCCTGGCCTGCACTGCTGCTGTTATCTCTATTGAACAACACTCCAGTGCTCCAAAGTTTTTTGTAAATCACTTATACATTTCCATTTTTCTTCCTCAAGATGAAAGAAAATTTTGGCCTTGATTCCCCACCATCTTCATCACCAACTAAAGGAAACGATCAAGAAGATAGATTTGATGACATAGAAGACCTTAACACCTTGGCAAAAAGCAGTCTGAATTTAGGTTGGTAGTTTCTATTTTTTTTAATAAACATATATTACATTGCTTTCAGTTTTTCAGCTTTGTTTTCATATACAAGGATTTTCACTGTTACATTCTTACTCGTGATGATGTTTTGAATTTAATCTACATTTTAATTAATCCCAAATCGAAATACCTGAAAAAATAAAACTTATATTTCAACCTAGAATTTTTAGATTCTCTTTTTTCATAGCACTACATTTTCTTTTCCTCATTTTGCCTTTCTATTAGCATTGTGGTTTGAAACTGTCACTAATACCTTAAACTGAGTCTGAAATGTCCTTGTTAATATATATTAAAATCTGATATTATTAAATGATATTGGCAGCTCATTGAGTGATCATGTTAAATATTAATAAAAGAGGCATATTTTAAACATTTATGAAGCATTTTATAGTGATATATTAGTCAGTTTTAATGCACTAATAACTTAGTTTCCATTAAAAGATTCTAAAAATATAGCACCTTTCCTCGGGTCTCCTTAATGTTGATTCATGGACACTTTGGAAAACCTGAATTTTAAAAATTAATTTTTCTTTATCTAACACTGAAACATCAATGTCATCGTGACATTAACATCCCTATGTGAGAATGCTAAGTTCTTTGTTAAAGCACTGGAATTTATAGAGCCATTGTTGAGATTTATGCTGCCATTGACCTGTTATGACTCTACTTGGGAGGAAGTCTTTGGAGGCATTTCCCCTGTTGTCTGCTAACATGCTGGAGGGGGGAGAGCTATACAGAATGATGGGACAGTTTCCTGCTAAGTGAAATCTTCAGGAATAGAAACTTCAGTGGAAGAGACTGATGGTATCTGTGGGGTGATGGCATTTGTCAGTGCTTCTTAAAATTCACTACATTTTTATAGGTCTGTGACTTTAAATACTGATTTATGACCTTAATGGACATGCCGTATCTGTTGATTACTGTTGATTCTTTCTGGCATTCTTGGCACTATTTTGTACCAAGTTGTTCTTTGTTGGGAGATAGGGCCAAGGGCATCCCTGAATGGGGTAGGAGGCCTTGCAGATCCCCTGCGTTCTGCCCGTGATGCCAGTGATGCTGCCTCTCCTGGTCTTGATCCAAATGAATCCAGATACTGCCAGATGTCAGGCTTCTGCTTTGTGCCCTCCAGATCCAAAGGTATACCCCAGACATGGGGTGCCTGGCTGGGCACTGCAATAGCAGAATGGGGAAAGAAAATAGGGAGAAGGATATTCTTCCCAGGGTTCAACTCAGGACCCATCAAGCCCCAATCTGTATGTTATTTCAGTGGATCTAGAAGTATTTTCTTCGCTTTCTGCTGCCTGTATTGGTTTCTTGTGGCTGTTGCAACAAATTCCCACAAAGTTGGGAAGAGAGGTATTTAATCCACTAGTTCATGCATAAAATGGCCCCAGGTCCCAGGGTCAGGGCAATCTGAGGCCAGGTGTTTCATCCTTGTTTCTCAGATGGGTACCCAAGTACTTGAGCTATCTTGTGCTGCCTCTCCAGGCCATAAGCAGCGAGCTGGATTAGATGTGGAATAGCCAGGAGTACCCACATGGAATGCCAGTGCTGCAGACAGCAGCTTAATTTACTGCACCTCCAAGATTATGTATTTTTTGAAAGATTTATTTGTTTTTGCTGGAAAGTCAGATATACAGAGAGGAGGAGAGACAGAGAGGAAGATCTTCCATCCGATGATTTACTCCCCAAGTGTCCACAACAGCCAGTGCTGTGCTGATCAGAACACAGGAGCCAAGTCTCCCACACAGGTGTAGGGTCACAAGACTTTGGGCTGTCCTTGACTGCATTCCCAGGCCACAGGCAGGGAGCTGGATGGGAAGTGGAGCAGCCAGGATTAGAAGCGGCAGCCATGTGGGATCGCGGTGCATTGAAGGCGAGGACTTTAGCTGCTAGGCCACGGCGCCAGACCCCAAGATTATGTATTTTTAAAGAGCTTTTTCTCCTTCTGGGCTGTGAAGTTATACGTATAAATTAACATAATCATGTGATGTATTAGTATTAAAAGATTTCGTAAGGGTCTAGAATTGTGCAGCTGGTTAAGCCACTGCTAGCAATACCACATCCCATATTGGAGTTTCCTGTTTCAATATAGTTCCCGGTGTGTGCCTGGGAAAACAGCAAAAGACAGTCCAGGTGCTTCAATCGCTGCCACCATTATTGGGGAACTTCATAGAGTTGCGAGTTTGTCTTGGACCTGGACCTCCTCCACCTGTTTGAGTAATAAACTAGTGCTGTTTCTGTCTCTCTCTCTGTGTCACTCTTTTAAATCTTAATAAATACATAAATGAATATTTTTTCCAGAATGTTATAGAGAACGATTCTATTTCCTAGTCTCTGGCTGTCATTCCTCGAATCTCCAGTGACTCTGCAAGAACTCCTGATCCAACCCCAGAGATCGATGCACAGGTTTATGTGCTGGCCTGCCACACACTCCAAGTTTCTGAAGGGCAAGGTTTGCCTCTGACCATGGCTCTGTACGATGTGCTCAGGAAATAGTACGTGAAGAGAAGGGATAGGCTGCTTGCGATAGTTGACTTCTCGTCCCCCCTTTTTTTTCTAGCTGCTGAGTTGTACTAGAACTCAGTCTTCTCTCTGTTAAGATTCTTTTTGCTTTGATTCTATTTGTAATTCTATTCTTCCACTTCACCAAGTATAAACCATTGGAAAATTTCCCCCAGACCCTTCCATAAGCATTATCTTCCGCTTGTCCAGAAGCATGTGTTTACCTTCCCCAGCTTTCCACCTTCTGTGCCCCATTCTGGCCATTACTCAACAACCACAGAAACCCTGGAGGCCTGTATTTGTTGCCCAAGCCCCTAGGTACTGGGGTGCGCTTGGTGAACAGCTCTGTAAAGTATGAGTGTGTAAGATAAGAAATGTGTGATAGGACAGGAAAGGTCCAGGGAAGTGGCTGTAGCACAGAGCAAGGAATGGCAAGTTTTACATAAGCTGCAGCAACTCAGACAGCCCAGTGGTGTCATGTAATAACCCCTTTTACTAACGTAGCTGGATAGGAGATCTGTTTGCAGATAGAGCTGTTTTCCTGTTCTGAAAACTCTGGCTTTAGGTCATTATTACTTGAGTCCCGGTCCCACTTCTGGTCCCTATTTTTTATGTATGTATGTATTTTTAAATTTACTTTAGATTTCTTTGAAGGCACTTACTCATAGGCAGAGAGAGGGAAACATAAACATACACAGTGATTAAGCGAGCGAGTGAGAGAAAATCTTCCGTCTGCTAGTTCACTCTGCAAATGGTTGCAGCCACCAAACCTCAGTCTGAGGAATTTGGAAGTCCAGCTGAATGTCCCACTTTGATGGGAGGGGCCTAAGTATTTGGGCCATCCGCTGCTGCTTTTCCAGACACACTATCAGGAAACTGTAGCAGAAGTAGAACAGTCAGAACTAGACCTATCACTCTGATATTAGATACAGGCATTGCAGGAGGCAACTCAACCTGCTATACCACAGCACTGGTCCTGAACCCTCCTCTGTCTTTTGTTGTTTATTTTTTTCTCTTAAGATTTGTTTATTTACGTGCAAGCCAAAGTTAATGCGCGTGCATGCGAGAGAAGAGAGACAGAGAGACAGAGAGACAGAGAGACAGAGAGACAGAGACAGACAGATAAAGAGCTTTTTTTTATCTACTGGTTCACTTCCCGAATGTCTGCAATGGCTGGAGTTAGGCTAGTTCAAAACCCAGAGCTAGGAGCTTCTTCACCACTAGTCTCCAATGTTGATAGCAGGGCTCTAACCATTTGAACCATCTTCTACTACTTTTCCAGGAGTTTTAGTAGGGAGCTGGATGTAAAGTGGTACAGCCAAAACTTGAGTTGATGTCTGTATGAGATGTTGGCCCCGAAGGTTGTAGTAAGCAAAGCACTGGCCCCATGATCCCTTCTTCCTAGCTACTGGGAAGGAGACAGGGGCAAAGTAGGAGTGATGCTTTGACTGTCTTGCATGATGAACTCTAGTTGATGGCCATGAAGGGTATATGAGAATGAGGGAATGGCAACTAGGTTTTGCTTTAATGTACCCTGAACATGCCATTTACTTTCACTCCATCACTGCAGCATTGCCAGCTATGCAGGCCTTGATTCCAGAATTTCCAGATAAGATAAACATAATAGTGATAGTAAGTTTATTTATTTACTTACATATTAAAAAGATATGGATCTAAGAAAGCAACTGGTGCACAACCCTTCTTAAAAACCAGTAAGGAAAAATGAGGTGAGAGTATGTGGTGGATTACTGTGGTGTACATTCTGGATGGATGCCAGATGACCACAGGTCTTTAACCATGTGCACTGTTTGCCTGACTCAGTTGTTCCAATGAAAAGGAAAATGCCACAGATGCGATATTGAACATATTTGCACATCAGTAAATTGAAGGATTTTCCAGTATGTAAGATGGCAGAGCTGAGGCCCAAAGTGACCTTGGTAATTCAAAATAAAGACCTGCATCAAGTAAAATAAAATAGTCTTGTTGTTTTGAAGAATGCTATGTAGCATGTTGTTTGGACCCAAAAACTTAACTGTCCAGTTAAAAGGTAGGAGACACATTGTGATTTGATTTTCTGTCATTACAAAATTTTCTAGTATGATGAAAATAACAAGGCACCCAAGACCATAGGTTTCAGAGATTTTTTTTTTTTTGAGACCCTTCTGCTTGTGAATTCCATTCTGCCTGGCATATTACTGAGCAACAGTGCTTTTTGGGATTGCAATCAAAATATTGGTCAAATTCCATCCTTTTCCAGTCAAGCTGTTCCCTTTACCTACAATGCTCTTCTTACAGATTTGCATGGGTCTCATTTCCTGCCACCATGTAAATCCCCAATCATCCCAGCTAAAATAAGTTTCCTGAAGTCCCCATATGTTGCTTTCTTTTTCTCTCCCTAGAAGTTAGCATGTTCTGAAACTGTGCCATGTGTTCATTCCCCGACTCTCCCCACTAGAATTAGCTCCCAGCAGTTTTGTACACTTAGCTAAGTAAGACTGAGAATAGATCCTGGCAAGTAGTAGGCACTTCATAAACATTTTTTGGGTGAATTTGTGAGAGCATGAATGAAGAATATCCACATTAACGTTGAATCCACTCACAGGCATTGAATCCGCTCGCAGGCATTTTGCTTTTTCCCCTATTAGCCACAGAAAAGAGATTCAGGTTTTATGTCATCTTACGTTTGCTTGATAGGAAGCATAGATGCTACAGTAGACCCTTTTTATCCCTTAAATTTTCTATCTTAAGTTTTTAAAATCTACAAATAGCATACAACCACTTAACGCCCACAATTTTGCTAGATTTATACTTTTTTTCCTAATTATTTATCTAGAAGCTTCATTATTCTCTAATTTACATTAGTATTTTAACATGTGTGAGCATTTAGTCACAATTTAACTACCTAATTTTTGATATTTCCAAAAGCAGTTTTCAAATTAATACACTGTAGGGAATAACTTTGTTTACCTGTGGTTCATGGATGCTAGGAGGCTACCCCATAGACCCCAGGATGCAACTCTTGAGCTGATGCGTCAAGTCTCTGGTACTCAAGCTTCCCCCAAATGGACCATCTTGTGTTTCTTGTCTATCTTGTACTTCAGTATGCACTGTGCATATTTAGCTTTTTCAACTGTGCTGCTTTTCTGCCAGTGATTATTCTATTTCCAGGAAGCAAACAGCAAATTAGGTTTCAATAAAATTCCCAATGTTTTATAGAAATATTTTAGACTCCATTTGTATTGCTTGAATACACAGAGTTATTTTAGGTTCCCAAATTAGTATTGCTTAAATAAATGGCTTCCTGAAATCATTGAAGGTGTTTAAAAATCTTACCTTAACTATATAATGCAAACAACTGATACCTCATAATAATTTCATGAGCTACACATATTTTGTTTTGCTTTCTACTTAGGAAAACAATAAATTTGTTTTTTTAAATCATTCACAAGTTAATGCAGAAAGGGCTGATATTTTTTAAGTTTACTTATTTTTACTTATTTGAAAAAATTGAATCTGTCCGCTGGTTCAGTCCTCAAATGCCCACAACAGCCAGTTCTAGGCCAGACTGAATTCAGGAACCAGGAGTTCCTTCAGGGTTTCCCATGGAGGCGACAAGAACCCAAGTTCCCAGGTCAGGATATGTATTAACAGGAAGTTGGCTTAGGAACAGAGGCAGGACAGAATCTCAGGCAATCCGCTATGGAATGTCAGTGGAGCTGTAACACTTGCCTCTGCAGTGCTTTCGTATGGGAGCTCTGCTGTGGGTCATGGGAGCAGTGAACAACAGAAAGTCTGCTCTCGTGGAGCCCACATTCCACTGTTACCAAAGTAGCATGTAGTATGGTAGGAGTCAAAAGTCAAGATAAAGCATTGCATCAGTGGATTCTTCAATGACCTCATCATGCTTGGAGTGGCGAGACCGGCAGCAATTCATGGCTGGTGAACTACCAAAACCACTTGAGCAAGGATCACGGAGCATGCCCCACATCCAGGACCTGGGGAGGGTGGGAAACTGGGGGGGCTTCTCCCTCAATATCCCCCTTTACTTCAGATACATGAAGGAAACAATATGAAAATAATAGTCTTACTTTCCTGTAGCCCTTGAACCTTTTTACCCTAATTAACTATGTAAAGATTGTTGAAAATATAATAAAAAAATAGTTCCTATGGAAAAAAAAAGAAAGCATTGCAAATGGACAGAAACTGTTCAGGGAGGGCGCTCTTTCTCAGGATGAGAAGGCTGGACCATTGTTTAGTAGGACAGTGCTTGACAGGTAGTTAACTAAAGTAAGCAAGTCATTCAAGTAGGAAGACATTTGGTATAAGGCTGAGAACAGTAAGTTAAACTTCGTGATAGTATAAGAAAAAGCAGTGGGCCCAGCGCTGTGGCCTAGTGGCTAAAGTCCTCGCCATGAACGCGATGTGATCCTATATGGGCGCTGGTTCTGATCCCGGCAGCTCCACTTCCTCTCCAGCTCCCTGCTTGTAGCCTGGGAAAGCAGCTGAGGACAGTCCAAAGCCTTGGGACTCTCATCCTCGTGGGAGATCCAGAGGTGCTCCTGGCTTCAGATCAGCACAGCACCGGCCATTGTGGTCACTTGGGGAGCTTTCTAATCATGCGTTTGTGGAGGTATATATAGATAATGTACCTGGATGGACTTGTATATATGCATGTATCTGTTAGAATTAATGCACAGCATCTACCAGGAGTCTTCAAAAAGTTCATGAAAAATATTTATTATAAAAAATGCACACATTTCAAATTTTTTCATACCAAAATAAATTTACACTGAATATAGTTTAACATACTAAGAATTATAATGTATCAGTTGTAGCAACATGGGTTCTGCTAAGACTAAAGTAAGAACAAATACCAAATTTTTTGTGAAATGTCAGCGAAGAGTGGTGAAATCACTGGTGATTTGTTAAATTTTAGTAGGTAATGTCCCCAAAGAAGTCAGTTTATAAGTATATATACAGCTCTGAAATGTTGAAGTGAGGCAAGCTTTCTACTTGTTGTCCCCAGATAAGCTGCAGGCAGTAAAAGAGATCTCAATGTAAATTGAAGTTAATTCTATTTTTGGGCCTGGCGTGGTTGCCTAGCAGCTAACATCCTCGCCTTGAACACACCGGGATCCCATATGGGCACCGGTTCAATCCTGGCTGCTCTACTTCCCATCCAGCTCTCTGCTTGTGGCCTGGGAGTGCAGTCAAGGACGGACCAAAGCCTTGGGTCCCTGCACCCATGTGGGAGATCTGGAAGAGCTCTTGGCTTCAGATTGGCGCAGTACTGGCCATTGCGGCCACTTGGGGAGTGACCTAAAAGATGGAAGATCTTCTCTGTCTCTCCTCCTCTCTGTATATCTGACTTTGCAATAAAAATAAATACATTTTTTTAAAAAAGAAATTAATTCCATTTTTTCATGAACTTTTTAAAAATAAATTTTATTTTTTATAATGATTACATGGGTGATCAGGGTAGGAAGGATGGAGGTTTAGGGATAATTGGGTAAATTCATTGCTTCCAAATTTGCTATTTCTTCTTCTTGTTCCTGGAGTAAGGGGAGAAACAAAGCGGGAACCACTCACAACTTTCCGCACATCCCAGCACCCAGGGAAGAGGAACTGCCACCTCATATCAACCCAGAGTCTCAGTGTGCATGTATTCTGAGGGTTCTGTCCAAGTGGCTTGGATAGTTCTGAAATGCTGCCGGTTTCACCGATCTGAGGATGCTGTCATCCTCCCAATGCTCACTGGCTCATTCACCGAGATTTTTTGCTGTCATCATTTGTTTGGGGTAGTTGTCCAGTTAGCTCTGTTCTTCTGCTACAACACCAAATGTGCTGCCATATTCTGCTTTTACAACTGGGCCTATATCCAGCTACTCCATGTTTTTCATTAAGTAGTGCATGTTCTTTCAGGCTAGTCCTAGGACCCAGGCCAGGTATCCCAAGCATCGTCAGATTCCCCACCCCTGGGGCTCATGAACCCAATGCCAACCTGGTAGGTGGGCCCCGGGACCCAGGCCATGACACCCGAGACCCTCCAGATCCTCCACCCCCAGAATCATAAATTCATGAACCTTTTGAACTCTATTCCTGTATTAGTACATGATCCATTGTGATGAGATTGAAGGAGCTTTCCTTCCCTTAGTTTTGGAGGACAATTGTAAAGAGAAAAGGGTAGCTTCTGTTTTTGCTGGTGTTTATTGTTAATACAGGAGTTCTAAAAAATACTACCTATGAACCCCTGTTAAAATTAATTTCAAAGTATCAGGCCCTAGCAGCTAAAGTCCTCACCTTGTATATGCCAGCATCCCATATGGGCACAGGTTCTAATCCCAGCAGCCCTGCTTTCCGTCCAGCTCCCTGCTTGTGGCTTGGGAAGGCAGTCGAGGATGGCCCAAAGCCTTGGGACCCTGCACCCGTAGGGGAGACCTGAAGGAGGCTCCTAGCTTCGGATCAGCACAGTTCTATCCGATGTGGCATCTTGTGTAGTTAATCATCACACAGAAGATCTTCCTCCCTGTCTCTCCTCCTCTGTATATCTGACTTTCCAATAAAAATAAATAAATCTTAAAAATAAAGGGAAAGAAATTTCAAGGTGTCACATCTCTCAGTATCATACATATAAAGCTTATTATATGAATTTTCCTGAGTATAAATACATTATAAATTTTTAAGTGTATTCTGAATCATTGTATCTCTTTTTCATTGGGTTAAAATTGGCAAAAATTTCTCACCCTGAGCTCTCCCCTTTGTATCATAAATTTGATTATCTTCTTTCTGTGTCAGAGTTTTATGTAAGAATTAAATAAGGTAATAAAGAATAGTGAAATTTTTAGAAAAGCCTTCTTAGAGTGGTATATTTTTAGGATGGATAAATATGTCTTGTGTCACTATCGTTTGCATTTATTCTTCAGAGATGGTGCTTCCAGATGATGTGCAGGATCCTGGCATGCTCGCTGACCTTCCTGCTGTGGCTCAGAGAGGGGAAGAAGATGTGCCTTTATACCAGCTCCCCAGGACTCGAATCATGTCAAAGGCCTCTGCACACACAGCGATGTCTTCTAGATATGCCACTGATGCCTGGTATGGTATCAGTTTTCTTTGTTTTTACATTATGAAAAGGTTTCATTTGTTGCTAGTAAAAGAAAGTGCAAGGCTTTCGTGGAATACTGGGAAAATACATAAAGATATTATGAATAAATTTTATTATGTTATGTAATTACTAAGAGAATTCCACATACTAAATATTGTAACATATGTATAACTTGGTTTTCTTGGCAGTTATGTGCAAAGTGGATTACACAGAGTGTTTGCTTGGTAGATGTGAGATTAACTCCAAGTTTAACAATGAAGCAAAAGCACTAGAGAAATTAACGAGGGGCTGAGTTTAACTGGTGAGAGAATCTGTAGGAATTGGCACTTGATAGCATGTTAGAAGATGACTCATGTTTCTTGACTGGGAAACTAGATGGGTAGTGGGATGGTGATTGCTTAATACAAGATAATAGGTACATGGATGGATTTCAAGGAAACATGATGAGTTCGGTTTGGCGCATATTGAGGATTAAAATATTCAGAGCAGCACAGGGTGACATGGAGTCAATTTGCTACCCCAGTTTGAGATTGGGGTTGATGTCTTAGGTCTATGTTGACATAAATGAATGGAAACAAAATAATAATGTAAATGAAACTCTGTATTAGTCAACTTTTTTTTTTCTTTTTTTGCTATAACAAATACCTTGGGAGATGCTAACTCTGTGAAGAAAAGGTTTATTTTGGTTCATTGTTCTGGAAGTCCATAGTCCAAGGTAATCATGTGGTAAAGGTATTCTTGTTTGTAGAGTACCAAGGTGATGCAGAGCATCACATGGCAAGAGGAGCACCAGTGGAAGGATCACATGGCTGGGAAGTGGAAAATGTGGCTGCGCCCAAATCAGCTTCTGTAACCAGCTAAGATCCTAGGGCACATCTCCAGTGGCTTATGGATGTTTCCCCAGGCACATTCTCCCAACACCATCATTGGATTCTGTTTCCACTCTTTTAGTGGCCGTCATTTGTGACTGAATATGAAATACCTGCATGAATTCAGAAACATAGTTTGTTCAAACCATAGCAGACTTTAGATTTGACTGGTCACCTATCCAGATAAAGTCTAAACAATTAAAAACACAAAACAACCAAGATGGCAGTCCTGAAGGTGACAGTATTTAAGGCATAAATGAAGAAAGCAAAGAGATGAAATGAACAGTTTAAAGTTGATGAACTACAGGTTGACATAGAACACAAAGGAAGAGAGTCTGATGTTGTGACACAGGTCATTAAGCTACCCCTTGTAATGTCAATTTTTCCATACTGAGCATTGATTTAAATCTTGGCTGCCCCAATTTCTATTCAGCTCTCAGCCAGTGCACCTGGGGAAGTAGTGGAAGATGGCCCAAGTGGTAGTCCCTGCCACTTTCATGGGAGACCCGGATGGAGTTCTGGCCTCCTCTCTTCAGCCTGACTCAGTCTCAGCCATTGTGGCAATTTCAGGATTAAACCAAAAGATTAAATTCTTACACTTCCCCACCCACCTCCTCTCCTTCTGCTTTTCTCTATCTTTTGAATACAAATAATGAATCTAAAAAAAAAAAAAATGGAAGAGATCATTTTAACAAAAAGATCCGCACAGATCTTACAGAGAGCTAACGGTCCCATGTGAAAGTGGGCATTGTAAGAGCAGAAGAGTGCTTTGAGATGCTTGGTCATTAAAGGAGACAGGTAGAATGCATGTTATGTAGATAATTAAAGGGCAATATTATGTCATGTGGTAAGGGACGGGCAGTTCCTGTGCCACTCACTTAAAGATTTGGCCAAGATTTTAGCATGCTTGAATGGTCTCATATATAACTACTTACACATAGGTATATGTGTAGGTATATGTGTATGGCTATTTGTGTGTGTGTGTGTGTGTGTGTGTGTGTGTGTGTGTGTGTGTTACTGCTTGGGAAAGATGAACAAAGGGAAATGCGGATGCTGGCAGAGGTGATTCAGCAGTGCTGGGAAATGCGGCAAGAAGAGGATATTGTACACATGGAGAGATTAGCCTGTGACAGTCTAATGGAGGTAGGTTTACAGAGACAGGTCCCGGAAGGAAAGAAATATACAAATGTGGGCACTTTTTTTTATCACTTGGGAGCAGCAATCCAAGGGTATTTTTGTCCTTAGACTGTGATTGTTTTCCCTGCCCCTTGCAACTTTATTTTTTTACTAAGTGTGAGGAGGTACTGACAAAATTGGAAGTAGAGTTGTGATGGTAGTGATTCACTTTTGCAGTCAGACTAGAGGAATAGCCTAGTAGTAGGGAGCTTGAGATTATATGGCAGCTTCCTCTTGCGAGCACCCCAGTGAGAGAATGAATGCAATCATAACAGAAAACCCCAGCTTTGAAAGATGTCGGAGAGCATTAAAGAAGGGTCTTAGGTTTGTGGTTTATGGGCGCAGGAGATGCCATAGAGTAAAACTCATCGCAAGTCAGGCAGTCTTGGAGTGCGACACAAAACGGAAAGCTACACCCAGAGAGGTGTGACCTCCTTCCTGTGGGACTCAGGAAGTACAAAGGACACAAAGGAGTTGGAGCACTTAACAGAGCCTGACATGCTTGAGAGATGGGATGGGATTAGTTGGGTTTAGATTTTTTTTATTAAAACCTTAGTCTAAAAATTGTGTAATGGGCCTCGTGCAATAACTCAGTGGCTAAATCCTTACATTGCAAGTGGTACATTCCTGTATGGGCACAGGTTTGTGTCCCAGCTGTTCCACTTCCCATCCAGCTTTCTCCTTGTAGCCTGGGAAAGTAGTACAGGCTGACCCAAAGCCTTGGGACCCTGCATCCTCATGGGAGACCCAGAAGAAGCTCCTGGTGCCTGGCTTTGGATTGGCTCAGCTCCAGCCATTGCGGCTGCTGTGGCAGTGAACCAGCAGATTAAACATCTTCCTGTCTCTCCTACTGTCTATAAATTTGATCTGCCTTTCCAATACAAATGAAATAAATCTTTAAAAAACTTTTTGTGGTGACTTGAACATATGAGTTGTCTTATACCTAAATGATGTGCATTTCGCTGTTGACTTTAATCTAGAATTTTAGATAACAACTTCCTAAATACTTTTTTTGTTTATGTGTTCTACTTATGTGTTTTCTGCTTATGTGGCTTTTTTCCCCTTATTTAATATTTTTTAATTTTACTTCTTTTTGTTATTATTTTATGATACAGTTCCATAGGTCCTAGGATTTTCCTTACCCACTCCCCAATTCCCTCGTCCCTCACTGAGTTCCCCTATATCATTACTGTAGTATAGTTCTTCATACACAGACATATGTCCATCATTGCAGGCATGGACAATGGCAGAGAGTCCAGCATCCTATTGTCAAGATATAGTAAACAGGTCTTGGGAGTCCATCTTTGTCTGGAAATAGAGACGCATCCTTACATCTGGATATGACAGTCTCCATTACACAATTATTATTGTGGCTTTTTTTTTTTTTAAGATTCAGTGGTTGATTTGAAGGCAAAATTACATACAAAGAGTGAAAAACAGGGAAATGGAGAGAGACACACACCTTCCATCCACTCTTTCACTACCCTAATGACTGCAACAATCATAGATGGAATGATCCAAAGGAAGGAGCCAGTAGCTTCTCCCAAGTCTCCCACATGAGTACAGGTGCCCAATCAGTTTGGCTATTTTCAGCTGCATCCCAGGCCATTTGCAAGGAGCTGGATTAGAATTGCAGCAGTAGTGGGGACTTGAATTGGCACCCATACGATTTACTGGCACTGTAGGTGTTATCTTTACTTGCTGCACCACAGCGCTAGCTTCTTTGCGGTTTTTTTCATTCAGAAAACACAGAATAGTATGGGGGAAAGTACTGCCAGGCCCTGTGTCCAAACACAACAAAACCCATGTAGTTTCCAGAAGGACACATAGTGATAAAATAAAGCTTTTTAAAAAAAATGTGTGGCTGTTTTCTTAAAAGAGATGTCATAAAGAGGAAGCCTTAGGAATGTGTTTTCCAACGTTAAAGCAAAAGTTGGTGAATTGCTTTTCATATTAAGACACCTTTGATTTTTAAGTTCCTCCTGTACTTGTTAAAAGTTTAATCTACTGGACAAGTTGAATTCCAAAATGTAGAATTCTTAGCTATAGAATCCTGAGAGGGCTAAACACATCACCTTGCCCACTTTCCTTGCTGTTGTGTCATACTGAATTCACTCAACCTTGAAGAGGGCAGCTGCACATTATTCTCCTAAGTAAGTAAGCTGCACACTGACTTCTTCTGCAGGCGGGCACTGAAGGACTCCAAAGGTACTGCTGTCTTCGGAGATCAGTCTTGTATTTGAAAGTTATGTTTTGGCTCGCTGTCAGAGATTTAGGATGTGCTGAAATCTCAGCAGGTTTCAGAAGACTTCTGTAAATTGTGTTTGTGCTTGTAATCTTTTTTTTTTTTAAAGCTTTATTTATTTATTGGAAAGTCAGATATACAGAGAGGAGGAGAGACAGAGAGGAAGATCTTCCCTCCGATGATTCACTCCCCAAGTGAGCGCAACGGCCGATGCTATGCCGGTCTGAAGCCAGGATCCAGGAACTTCTTCCAGGTCTCCCACGCGGGTGCAGGGTCCCAAAGCTTTAGGCTGTCCTCGATTGCTTTCCCAGGCCACAAGCAAGGAGCTGGAGAGGAAGTGGGGCTGCTGGGATTAGAACCGGCACCCATATGGGATCCCAGAGCGTTCAAGGTGAGGACTTTAGCCACTAGGTCACGCCGCCAGGCCTGTGCTTGTAATCTTTTAAGAGTGCCCCATGAAGTTCAGTTTGTAGGTGAGTACTTATTGCCATCCAAAAGGTTTTTTTGAATATTGCATAAAGTCTTTAGTCTTTCACATAATCATGGTGTTATGGGTAAAAATGATATTTTAGAGTTGATGTTCTGCATTAATTTTTCTGTAAGACCCTGTAAGTGCATGACAAGGAGTGAAAGACACTGAATATATTCACATCACAAAAATAAGGATTTAATGGCTGTGCTGTTTAATAGATTCTCTGCTATTGCATTAAGCCAGCTTCTGCTTATTTTTGGATACAGAACTGATGTTAAATCAGATATACCTTGAAAGCACAGATCTCTATGCAGTGGAGTGTGGGTATTTAGGGGCTGATATCCTGGTTATCTTTTTCTAAGTATGCTTCCTTCTTCCTGAGATTACTTATATGATCAGAACTCACCAAATTTCAGTCTCTGTTCTTCAGCTCTGCTATTACCTGCTGCCCAAAGACATATGGGTGCCTGTAATAGGGGAATGGGCATTTTCCACACTGAGAAGTCTACAAATGTGGATGGAGTATAGGTTCAGTTCAAGTTTTTCCTCTGCTCTTTACATTATTACTTGATAGTATTTCCCTAATGTCCATATTTTTTCACCTATAAAATAGTTTTATGGGTTGAATAAGAATGCATAGAAAAAAACTTACGTAAGTACAGAAAGGACTTGCATATAAGTACATATAAGGATGTAATTTTGTATAGTAATAAAGCTGGGGACTTAATACAATGCTTTGCCCATAGTAACTGTTTAATGAAGGCTACAATGATGATGATTGCAATGACAATGATAGGTTCATTGGCCTTGTTATATACCCAAAGCAGTATCCGTTGTTGCTGAATTTATTTCCCTTCAAGAGATAGTGAGTTTTTTTTTTTTAATTAGTAAGACTGATCACACTGAGTAAAGCAAGGTGTGAGAGGCTACTGTCTGGGAGGATGATGAGCTTGAAAGATTTGAGCCTGAAATGGAAAGATCATATTGTAGGATTAACAGAATACAAATGAAGAAAATCCATTTTTACATATCAGATGCCTTGTTGGAAATAGTGGAAAGAGAAATAGAAGGAGTGGTGTCATAGTTGGGGAAAGGATGATATAACTTAATATTACATTTTAAGTCTCCAATATACGACCTAGCATTTAGTGCCTTCTAAGAGGTTGACCTTTGAAGTGGAATGTCCACGTCCTATAACAGGGTATCGGATCCCTACAGTGCAACTGGGAAACAGTGGTCAATGAAACAAGTGCTTGAGTTCCTACCAACTACATGGGAGATCCAGGTAGACTTACTCTCTTATGGTTTTAGCCTAACCCGGCTCAGATTTTCACTGTTACATTCAGAGTGGACCAGTGGAAGGAAGATATCTGTCTCTATTTGTCCTGCTTTCCATTTAGACAGATAACATAGACACATACATAGGCAGACAGATGGACAATCCTAAGAAAATGGGTTCCCTTTGAGTTTCATTGATTAAAATCACATGTAGGGGTCAGCAGTCCTCTGCCTTGGCACATTGGCACCCCATATGTGCTCTGGTTGAAGTCCCAGCTCCTCTGCTTCCCATCCAGATTGCTACTCATGGCCTGAGAAAGCAGCAGAGAAAGTCTCTGCTCACCTACATGGGAGACCATGGCTCCTGGTTTCCAATCAGACCAATTCCAGCTTTTGCTGCCATTTGGGGAATGAACCAGTGGATGGAAGATGCTCTTTCTTTCTCTCTTCCTCACTATAAATTTTGCATTTCAAATATATAAGAAATCTTATTCCAAATTCATATGCAAATTCAGAGTGTAGGAGGTTGAGGATCAGGGGCATACTGTGTATACATATATAGATACTTATTTTGCTGTTGCACTTCCCAGTTATTGTTGTGATGTTGCAGCTGTGGCCCTTATTGCTTATGCAGATGGATGAACAGAATTAGGACAAGAGGTCAATAGTAAAACTTACATGAATATACTTGAAAATTTAATGAGATCTTAGTCATAAAGAGAGCTCTCCCTGTTCACATCTCTTTTAGGCAATAAGTTTACTTCACCCTTGTATAGCTTAATGCACAATCAATTCCATGGACCATTAAGATATTATTAAACAAAAATTGGCAAATATTATAAAATATGCATAAACATATCAAGTGGAAAAATTATAAAGTAAATAAATGTTTGAGAAATAACTACCACTAGTAGTATTTCATTGAATACCTATGAGTGCTACATAAGAACATCAGAATGTGACAGTTTCTGTTAGAGTGACAACTATAAGATGAATAGATAATATTATACATATATGCACATATATTAAAAACAGTCATGTGATAGAATGAAGTGAAGACTGTTCATTTAAATTGTTAGACTTATGGCTACACCATTTAGGGACTGTATTACATGCTCATGTATTCATTTTTCATGTTGGAAGTCCAGTCTTAAAGAAGATGGTTCTAAAGTGGTATGGTGCTCTTGTTCTCTTGGGTCTTAAGTACTGGCTTCATTGCTGTTCTGCTATCCTTTTTTGGGTAACTTTAGTCTTCATTGTTTCTTGAGGATTTGAACATGGATACCACACTGTCATGACCTCTTGCATTGTAGACAAGAAAAGGAGAAGGCAGAGTGCAGAAGGCTCCTGGTAGGTTAGAGTCCCTCTGTTGAGTGGATTTTCATGGAAATCTCATCCAGAGACTTTGGCTTCCTTAACACTCTTCAGTAAGCATGGTTCCCATTAGCTAAAACAAAGTCTGTGAAGTGTATTACTTTGAGAGCAGGCAGGTATTATGTTGGCAAGGAAGAAGAAGAGAAAATACACGAGTAATCAACAAATGTCTGCCATGTTGTTTTTCCCTGACTGCTGTAATTCTTTTAATCATAAAAATTAGACTGTGTGACTAAGGTATGAAAGATCCAGTAGTGGATGAGATGTTAATACTATTTTTTTCTTTTTAAGATTTATTATTTTATATTTTATTTGAATTAGAAGGAGGGAAGGATACAGAGATAGGGAAAGATGGCTTTTTCATTTACTAGTTCTCAAAGGCCCATAGCAGCCAGGGCTGGGATAGGATGAAACCAGGATCCTGGAACTCCATTAGATTTCCCATGTAGGTGGCAGAGTCATCACCTGCTGCCTCTCAGAATGGATCTCAGCAGGAAGCTGGAACCAAAGCAGAAGATGGGGCACCCATGAAATGCAGGTGTCCCCAGCAGCAGCTTAACCACCACACCAAGTCCCTGTTTTCCCTACCCCTCATTTTCTTCTTAGTTCATGTTTGGATCATCTAGACCCTTTTGGCTTTCTCTTTTACACGCGACCTTAAGATTTACACCCTAAATGTCTACAGAATGGCAAGAAGATAGAATTTGGCTTATTTTTATAAGACTTATCTGAGTGTTTGGAAGAATGGAGCATTGAAAATATGCTGAAGCAATGATACAGATACCTGTGGAGAAGTAGTGAGGGTGTCTCAGGTCCTCTACTTATATCATAGTTTTTGTAAAAAATGCATACATGTGTTGGGCATGATGGCTCTGTGGCTCAAATCCCACCTTGCATGAACCGGGATGCCATATGAGCCCAGTTTCTGTCCTTCCTGTCCAGCTCCCTGCTTTTGGCCTGGGGAAGCAGTAGAAGATAGCCCAAAACCTTGGGACCCATGTAGGAGACCTAGAAGAAGCTTGTGGCTCGTGGCTCCTGGCTCCTGGATTTAGACTGGCTGTTGCAGCCATTTGAGGAGTGAACCAGTGGATGGAAGATCTTTGTCTCTCCTTCTCTCTGTAAATCTGCCTTTCCAATTAAAATAAATAAATGTTTAGAAAAATGCAAGAGATGGTATCTACATGTTTGAGCAAAGTAATCACACATATTTCATTTGATGATTCATAATCAAATGCCTTTTTCATGGACTAGGTTACACTTAGGCTTAGGAATCCTGACTCCTTTCCCAGCGAATATTCAGTAATTTCTGAATCCTCTTAGATCATTACACTTGCAACTAATCATTCTATAGTATGACTTTATCAAATTCCACAGTTCTACAGGTGAAAGTGTGATGGTGATCGATAGGAGAGGGGCAAGGATCGAGTTAGGGAATGTTGTTAAATGACTATAAACTGAAAAGTACCAACTTCACAAACTCCTCATGGCATATGAATGATTGGAAGTATTTAAGGTTAGAGTGGCTTAACAATCTAGAAAGAGGGAACATATATAACTATATGTACCAGACTTCTCTGCTAGAGAGTCAGTACTGATTTTGAAATAATGTATTTTATAAACTGATAGTTAAGTGTGAAATTAGAGAAAATAGCAATGCATTTTTAGAACGTTACTAGAGTGTCACCGATAAAATCTTTTATGATTTTGTGATTTTTTTTCCTGTGTTTTTGGGAATTTATTGAGTTGAATCGCAAAGCAATGTAATTTTGTTTTGTGTATTTATTGATGTAAATATTTGAAAGTTTTCAAAATTAAGAAATATCTACCTAAATATACTGTAATTTTCAAAATTTCTAGGGCCCTTTTTAGTAAAAGTATGTCTTTATAAATGACATGTATTTTTTTTCATTTCTCCCTCCTCAGTGAGTTACCTGAGAGAGAAGAAGGTGAAGGAGAAGAAACCCCGACCTTCAGCCATTGGGGTCCACCAAGAATGTATGTGGATGATATAATTAATTGGCTTTTCCAAGTAGCAGAATCAGTTGCTCTTTTCTTCAACCAAATAGATCATCATTCACTTAGACTACAGTGATTGACAGTGATTGACAAATTGCAGTAATTCACATGTAAACTGGCTTACATTTTAGTTTCATTTTATCTCATGTAGAGATTTTTAACGACAAAAAAAACCTGTGATCGGTGTTAGAAAAACCTCTTTTAGAGAACCCAATTTCCAAATGTCCACTGTGACAACAACCCATGGCCTAAGAATGATATATTACTGCAAACACATCAGCTAGGACTGCAATGCAGGCAGCAAAGCTCTTTGTTTTGTTTGCTTTTTAAAGCTACTGGCAGTTAAGATTTCTGTTGTAGCTCAGTTTATATCTCTTCCTGGAAGGAGTCCATGTGTGTGTCTTGTTGAGGCACAGAGTGTGGAACACGTTGTCCATTGGATGTGGCTGCAATTTCAAGGACTAGGCCATGCAGGGCTGCACTTGAGGACTGCAGGATCTGCCTGTAGCTGTGTGCTCTGTTCCCTATGCATTATTAATTCCAGTAGCTTCATCCCCTCTGTCCTTTTCTTGCAATTGTAGTCTAATATTTGTCTTAAAACTAAGTTACTTTTTAATTTTAAAACATTATTGGCCACAACTCTGTGTTTCAACAAATCAGTGTTTTGAGCAGCAAGTTCTATTTTGTATTTTCTTTTAAAAAATTATGTTGAGATAGAAAGGAGAAAATCCCTTCTAAACTTAAGCACAGATAAAATCTGTGGTGTAATTGAAGCTCCAGGCATTAATCCTGCTGAATGAGGGGAACAGCTTTGCCAAGGAACCCTTCAGTGACACATTTATTTCATTCTAAATGACTGTGCTTTTACCAGAATCACATATGTAGCTCTTCGATTGTTCACTCACTTGTTACTTCCTCATTCCACATTTTGCTAAAGTTGCAGATATAAATGAAATGAACCAATCACTGAAAAAGTACTGTGGAAAGAATTGGAACTTTAAGGCCTTGCTACATTTTTTATCCTGAACATTGTTGTATTTATTATTTTAGAAGGTGATCTTTGTCAAGTTTCAGGCTTTCACAGCTGTGAATTTTTTATAGCATCTTATAATTTTGTAAGTAGGTCTAATTTATGTAATGTCCATAAAAATATGTATTTGAAAATATGTTTTTGCCAAATGTGGATTAAAGGACTATGGTACAAATTTAATATATACAATGATAATCCCACAAATTAAATTGTTTAGTGAGAAAGGTGTTTTTTTTTTCCTTTAGTGTTGAGATTTTTAGAGAACCCAACGTGTCTCTTGGCATCAGTATTGTTGGGGGTCAGACCGTTATAAAACGCTTGAAGAATGGAGAGGAACTTAAAGGAATATTCATCAAACAAGTTTTAGAAGACAGCCCAGCAGGAAAAACTAATGCACTGAAAACTGGAGACAAAATACTGGAGGTAAATGATATTGTTCGATACTTTCTGTGAGACAATAGGAGAATCATTTAGCCAGAAGGTAGTTCTTCCTGTGTTGGGCCGTAACTATTGCACTCTATTCATATGATTTCGTTTGCACATTGTGTGCACAATTTATGAGTTTCTCAAGGGGGAAGTAAATGCACAAACAAGCCACAAAACCTGAGCTAATCAAAAAAAAAAAATTAACAAAGGCTACATGGAGGTGGCTCATTGTAGACACACTTTTCCTGCAGTCGTTACAAGTCCTAAATGTTGGTCAGTGGAGTATCTGCACTAGTTTGGAGAGAGACTTGATCCAGGAATATTGAGGACTCCATTAGGAGAGGTGCGAATTGCTGCTTCACATGTGGTAGACTGTACGGGGGCCAAGTCTGAAAACACTGGGAAGATCCTGAAGTCCGAATGGGACACTTTTCTTTAAGTTGCTTTATTAAGTGACAGCTGTGGGAAATCATCCCTAGGCCTCTGCCTGCTGCCTGGTCTAAGGTGTAACTGCCCTGTTATGTAGAACATGACCTCTGACGTGATTAGAAGGTCAACAGGGTTAAGCCTGCCTTTTATCTAATCACAGTGTTATTATTGGGTGAAGGGACTACCTGAAAACACCCTCTTATCCTCCCTTTTCTTAAACCTTTATAAACTCGGAACTTGGGCTGAATAAACAGACATTCCTCACCAGCTTGTCCCTGGTGTTTCTTGTGGCCGAAGGACTCCTTTGTCTGACCCTTGGTGACCTCAGGGCCTGATGGCAGGACTCTAAACCCTGAGTGATGCTACAGTAGGTGTCTTGCAACTGTGGAATTTGCTTGTGCTTGATTCTTGCTTTATGGTGTTAGCCATCAGCTATAGTGTTTCAGTCTTGAAGAATAAAAAGAGCTCTGAGTGCCGTGGGTAGTTGGGGAGTATGGACTCTTTCAGCTTCTAGTTATTGGATGAATAGTTGCTCTTACCTTATTCTCATTTTCAAAATAAAAAGGAAATGAAAGTTCAAAACCAATAGTGTGGTAGTAAGGATTAAATTTTAAAAATTACAAAAAAACACCTTGTCGCTGCGTATACAAAATTGGGCTTCTATGTGTGTTTGTGGAATGCTTAAAATTTCAGGAGCCTATGTTTGATCTGGTGGTTAAGACACCATGTCCTACTCTATCCCTTTACCATTCACACTCCTTCTCTCTGCAGCTATTCCTTTGAAATAATAATAAAAAAAAACTTTAGAAAGTACTGAAAGTCCAACAATGCTAATGTAGAGTGAATGGTGGACAGAGACTCAGAGGAAGCGTCTGAGGAGTAATGAGAAATCGCATCATGTAACTTGGAGGGTCTGACTGTGTATGCTTTGAATGCAATGGAGACCTAGGAGAGAAAGATAAGCTCATGTGTATTATGGAGCACTTTGACCTGAGAGGCCAAAATGGAAACAGTGAACTCAGGTGGAAGGCATTGAATAGAGAGACTGACAGCCTGGAGTAAATGAGAGGAGTGGTGATGGTGAGATGTATGTGGACTGTGGGTATGTTTTGAAGGTAGAACACTAGAACTACTGCTACATTGCATGTACAAGGGCAAAGAGGTAAAGATAAGCTTTTCAGCTTGAAGAATGAAATTTTCATTTATTGAGTAATGGGGAAGACGGAGGCAGGAGTAAATTTGAGTAGACATGTTTTGGGCATGTAAAGTTTAAGATGTCTGCTGGACATTCAGATAGAAATAATAGGCACTTAAGTAAAGAAGTAAGAAGTAAGACTTAAGATGTGTTTACTTGAAAGGCTGAGTTTTTCTGTTGTAATAGGACAGAATTTCTTCCTTGTGTTATTTATTTCCATTGATCACTGTAGAAATCTTGAAAACACCTACAGTCCTATTTCTTTGATATTCTTATAGTAAAGCAGTATGCACACGTGGACATGGTCATTCCCTTTCTATTGGCCATTTAACCCTTTGTTACATTACAGTATTGAAAGGTGCTTGGTACTCTTGGAGTGCATATTATGTTCTTTGAGTTTCCAAAGTAAGGAATCATCATCAGTTACCTAATTTTTTGAAACTTCGGACACTTGTGGATGTCTGGATTTTTTTTTTTTTCTTGACAGAATTTGAGGAATATTCAATTTCTTAATTGTAATAATAGGCAATCTGGTTCTTTTTTTTTTTCTTAAAATATTATAGTGTAACAGAGAGAAAGTGAATATCTAGTGAGGCCCCACCTCCCACACCCACTTGTGTGACCCACACAGTACTGTGTGTTGTACTGGTGGCTGAGGGACACCTAAGATTCTCTAGCTGACTAAGTTACCTGTTATCTCTCAGAGGCAGCTTTTATATTGCATTGAATAATTATGTATAATCAGGGATGCTGTTATTAATAGCTTTGTCTTACCGAGACACAACATACTTTTCCTTAAGCATGTTATCTTACAGCAGCAAAGCTTTTTCTGGGCTGATCTTTTTATGTGGCTATAGTCTAACTCATTGTGTTCTGGCTGTTCTCATAGCTAGGTAATACACACGGACCTTGTGTTAACCTGTGCACAACATCTAGTCCCTTTCCAGCTAAAACAAACCGCTCCTTTGTTTCAGGTGTCGGGAGTAGATTTGCAGAATGCCTCGCATGCAGAAGCAGTGGAGGCAATCAAGAATGCAGGAAACCCTGTGGTGTTCGTTGTACAGAGCTTGTCATCCACACCAAGAGTAAGTTTTACTTCATATCCTCCAAGATTCTCTAAACCTTTTAATCAAACCTCTGATTCCAAATATTCTTCATACATTTTCATATGACAGTGTTATTACATGAGAAAAGTATTAGGTCATGAAAGAGTTTAGTTATTTCTGCTTTGTTTTCCCTTCAATTTTGTTCTCTTGGACAAACCAAGTCATTACAGTTTGCACTAGTCTGAGTCTGAATGGGTAGAGTTGTGGACTTACTTTCAGTTTATTCCTTATTCACACAGTTTTTCTAACTCCAGACAAGTTACTGAATTTTTCTAGACCAATTACTTTGCTAATAATAAGATACATGCAGCTTAAGGGGCATCAAATTTAAAAACATTCCAGAGATACTGTTAAGTTTTCAGTGTGTTTATTGAGTCATGTAAACATAAAAACTTGTAGAATTATGTATTCTGTTGGTATTCTGGATTTAGAAATAGTGGTATTATTCTGTAATTAGCTGCTTGTTTGATATGAAACTGAAGGACATCAATGACAGGATGAATATTTAATAATGAGATAAGCAGCAGAAATGTTACTATTAGACCTTACAAGTGTAAGCACTATAGTTTTGAAATGGAAGATAGCTGTTTAAAACAGAAGTAAATCTGAACAGTACAAAAAATTTGCCTGTTGTAAAAAAATTATTTGCTTTTCAATAGAATAATGATTCCCAGTATAGGTAGTGTTAGTATACCAAACTGGCCAATAGATGGTTGGATATTTCCACATACTCCTAACATGCCTGTGTACAAATGGGTGGAGCCTACATTCCACCTGGGAGGCACTGCATGATGGTGCTTTCCATTCTTAATGCAACGTATATCCCATGAAGACTAAAGGCAAGCGATGAAAATGTGTTTGGGTCCCTGCACTCCTAAGGGAATGCCATAGGAAGTTTCTGGCACATGTGTTCTAGAAGAGGCTCCAGACTCTTGGCATCAGATTGACCCTTCCAGCCATTGTGGCCATTTGAGGAATGATCCAGTGCAGGGAAGATTTCTCTCTCTCTGTAAATCAATCTTTCAAGTAAAAAAAAAATAAATATTTTTTAAAAATTAAAATTAAAAAGATAATACAGGCGTATATATATATATTTTATTTAGAAATATGTTTTGTCTTTCATTTTTCTATAAGTCTTCTTTGCTTTCCAAATTTTGTTAAAGGTACTTGTGCATAGGAATGTGGTACCATTGGAAAGGTGGTGTTAACATTATGAGTGGCAGCTGACGTTCTCATCTCTTGGCATTTGCTACACAGCTTCAGCTGATTTCTCCATGGGAGAAAGAGAACTGAGGTCTTCCATGGCCCAGGCCAATGTACTTGCAGAAAGGCCAGGGACTTGAGATGGAGTGGTTAAGGGGGAAACTGAGACATGTCTGGTGAGGTCAAGGCACCCACCTACAGGGGAGACCTGGGCTGGGTTAAACAGCATCGGTTATTGTGTTTTGTGATGCTTTAAGGCAAGAAACACAGGCTTGTAGAGCGTTCAGTCTTTGTAGTTGGGCTGGGACTGTTGTGTGTATGTTAAACACAGATGTAGCATTAAGCAGTAGTGCATCATGTGTTCATATAGGAAACAGAAAACATATATGTTAATGTTTCCTTGCTATTGGTTTTCCTGTAATAAAACATTTATGAGCCTTTCATCCTTAATTTATTTCATTTCATTCTAATTGAAAGGGAAGAAAGTTAGATCTTAAGTTAGATTTAGAGGGAAGTGAATATTTACTTTTTTTAAATTTTATGTTTTCTCTAGACAAACACTTCCTTTTGTGACAAATTGTTTTTAAATCTTCATATCTGTCACCAGATTTTATTTTGAGATTATCTGTTAGCCTTGCAAGAGCCTTTTGGGTCGCTGACCAGCAGCAACACTAAATAACGAGGCATACTCTCGAGGGTCTGGAAAAACAGGAACCACCACTGCAACTGGAACACTCAACCCTTTATTGCTGAAAGCTGGCTGCTTGTATACAGCTCTCCACCAATCACTTCTCCCGTGGGTCCACTGGGCGTGACCTGATAGGCCAGTAGCAATGACATAATTGCAGCGAGGGCATCAGCCTATCCCCATGACTTCCTGTTTGCCTACTGGCGGGACCAACCCCACCTCCTGGCCCTCAGCCAACCGCCATCTTGGCCAGCCGCCATCTTGCGACGGCCTTTCATACGTGTGGGGTTGGCTCCAGCGCACCACTACCCACACTTTGTTTTTAAGGTTTATTTATTTATTTCAAAATCATGGTTGTAGAGAGGAAGTGAGAGAGAGAGAACGAGACACCCCAGCATGGTGACCTAGTGGATCGCATTTGGGTGCTGGTTCATGTCCCAGCAGTCCCAACTTCCCATCCAGCTCCCTGTTTGTGGCCTTGGAAAGCAGAAGAGAATGGCCCTAAGCCTTGGGACCCTGCACCCTCATCAGAGACCAAACGAAGTTCCTTAGTTCAGATCCGCTCAGCCCTGGCTGTTGTGGCCACTTGGGGAATAAAGCAGCAGATAGAGAATCTTTGTCTCTCCTCTCTGTAAATCTGTTTTTAAAAAAAAGAAGAAGAAGAGACGCACAGAGAGGTTTCTTTCATCTGTTGGTTCACTCTGCAAATTGCCACAGTGGCCAGAGTTGGGTTAGACTCAGGGCAAGAGACATGAACCTGATCCAGGTCTTCTATGTAGGTAGCAGAGACCTATGCCCTTGGACCACCTGCTGCTGCTTTCCCAGGTGAAGTAACAGGAGCTGGATCAGAAGTGGAACAGCTACTACTTGAACTGGTGCCCAGATAGGATGCCAGAGTTGCAACAGCAGAAGAGGCAGAGAGAAAGACCTTCCATCCACTGACTCACTTTTCAAGGGTCCACAACATCCAGAGCTGAGCCAATTCAAAGCCAGGAGCCAGGAGCTTTTTCTGGGTTTACCATGAGGATGAGTGGTCCCAAGACCTTGGGCTGTGCTCTACTGCTTTCCCAGGCCACAAGCAGAGAACTGGATGGGAAGTGGAGCAGCCAGGACATGAACTGCCACCCATAGAAGATCTCAGCAGATGAAAGGCTATATATCTTGTCAGATTTCGGAAGTTTTATTCTTTCTTTGAGTTACACCTCTGTTATTTTTACACTTTGGGTAAAATCATTAGTTTAAATAATTTGGCTGTTTTTAAGAAATCTAATTGTATAGGGACAGGTGTTTGCCATTGTGATGAAGATAGGGACATCTGCATCCCCTATGAGTGTGTGTGTGTGCTCAACTTCTAATTCTGCTGTCCATTTCAGCTCCCACTCATGCACATCATGGTAGGCAGTGGAGGATTTCACCCATGGAGGAGACCTGGATTGAATTATTGGTTCCCAGCTTTGGCCTTGCCTGGCCAACTCTCGGCTTTGCCAGACTGAAACAATAATGGAAGATCTCTTTCTTTGCCTGTGTCTAGCAAATAATCATCGTATTAATAAGCAATGATGTAATGATGACATTTAAACTGTTTCCTTTTCTCCCCCACCCCCTATGGTGGTGGTAGGTCATTCCTAATGTGCAAAACAAAATCTCGAAAATCACCAATGACCAACACCAAGATATACAAGAAAGAAAAGAAAAGGTTAGTTGTAAGATGAATCTCTCTCTTTAAGCGTTTTCACATTTTAAAATTTCTTTTCACTTACTTGAGCTGTAATTAATGGAAATGATTTTTTTTTTAAACATGCCTGTTTGCAGGTACTCATTTGTAATATTTCCTTTCTACAAACACAACCGGCACTCCCTAGGATGAAAACCAGAAACCCGGTGAAGTGCAGGTGCAGAAATGCTGTTAAGGACAGTCAGCCATGACAGCTTTATGCTTCCTGCTTGTCTGTGCTGGAGTTGTTTGCCTGTTCTCTGGACTTGGAGCTCTGACGGTTTAATCTGCAGTGCTCACAGTCAGCATGTCCATCGCTGCATTGCTTTCCATGAGAATCCTTACTATCCGTCAAGGATCAGACCAAAGGGCATTTGTTCGAAAAACTTCCCTTACTGTCATTCAGAATGAATCGTTCACTCGTGTTTACCCACCTAGAATTCCTGGGTCTTAGATGGATTTTAGTATGTAGTGTCAGGTAGGGATGAATTTTCATTTTTTTCCCTCAGAGAAATCACAGCTTTCCTTTCTGCTTTAAATGAGACCTGCTTTGTTTAGTGAGTTGCAGTGCAAATCCACAATCTCTCAGATTGTGGCCTAGAGTCTGTTACATAACTTTCTCTGTGTTTTGCTTGGTCACTTTGTGTTAGCAGAAATGCTGCAATATCTAAATTATTAAAGCCTAGGCATCAATCTTGTTTGCTGGTACAGAAGCTTCTTTCCTATGTTATTTTTTTTTCTCTTTCACCATATTTTGCGTATTTGTGTCCTTTTTCTTTTTCATATGAATTTAGAATCAACTTAACTAAATTCCACAAAAGAATTTTGTTAGGGATTTTCACTGGAATCATGCCAAATGTGTAGTACATTAATAAAGAGGTTACATTTTTATGATATTCAGACTTCGTAATCATTGACATGGAATAGCTTCCTATTTAAAATTTTTCCTTGGGCCCTGCGCGGTGGCGCAAGTGGTTAAAGGTCCTCGCCTTGCACGCCCGGGATCCCATATGGGCACCGGTTCTAATCCCGGCAGCCCTGCTTCCCTTCCAGCTCCCTGCCTGTGGCCTGGGAAAGCAGTCGAGGACGGCCCAAAGCTTTGGGACCCTGCACCCGCGTGGGAGTCCCGGAAGAGGCTCCTGGCTCTGGATCGGCATAGTATCGGCCCGTTGCGCTCACTTGGGGAGTGAATCATCAGACGGAAGATCTTCCTCTCTGTCTCTCCTCTCTGTATATCCGCCTTTCCAATGAAAAAATAATAAAAATAAATCTTTAAAATTTTTCCTTTATTTCCTTGAATTTACATATTTTCTTCAGAAAAAAATATTATTTGTTTTGATTTATTTTTAGGTTTACTTAACCTGTCTCATTGCTATTAAATATCTCCTTAAATTTATTTTCTGTTTGTTTCAGATACATAGACGTAAAATTGACATTGATATCTCAAAGCATGATTCTCTTATTTTTTAGCAATTAAAATAAATATAGGGCAAAATGCTGCAATAATTGTAATGCTGAGATTTTAAATTTAAATATTTCATGTGGTGCTTTCTCGTGTTCTTGTGCATCTGCTCCATAAATGGGTTTTAATAAGAAAAAGAATATAGTTCTCAAATTTTAATTCTATATCTGTATTTTTTACTTTGTGACTTCTTGCATAGAAAACATCATTTTAGAAAAGGGTGGTTTTCTTTTTGTCTTTTCTTTATCCTCCCTTAGTTAAATTATACCTACTAAGGCCTCTTGCACTGTTACTTTAGTAGAAATGATTATAGTTATTTTTCTTCCTGATATTTAAGGAATGTTTTAAATATTTTTATGTTGGATACAATGTGTACTGTAGGTATTTATGGGCAATTCTGTAAGTTAAGGGAGTATTCTCTTTTATTTCTGTTTTCCTAAGAATTTTTACCATGAAAGGCATTGTCATTGGGTTTTATCAGATATATTATCTTCATTCACTGAAATACTTACACAGGAATGTATGCATAATGGTTTCCTGTTTGAATTATCCAATTTGGTAAATTACATTAATTTCAGAATGCAAAACCTACCTGAAATTCTTGCAGTAAAGTTAATTTGGTCATATGTTTTTTTTTTTAAATTTGTCCATTGGTAATACTGTTTCTTTTAGTGATTTTGCGTATAAGTGAATATCTGAGTCTTTATTACGTGAAGCAATTTGGGTTTACTTAGCTTGATTCTGGAGGTTGTGAAGTCTAAAAGCTGACATAGCATCTGGCAAGGTGCTGGCTGCTGCAACATGATGCGGTGGAGGGCATCACCTGATGGACAAGCACACTAGCCAGAGAGCACTCTCCTTGTGTCAAGACACAAAGACACTCCCAAAACAACACAGTACTCCATGAATGGATAGATTATTCCTTAGAATAGAATCCTCAAGACTGGTTCACTTCCTAAACGCTCCAACTCTGAAGGTGGTCTCACTGGGGCCAGTCTTCTAAGAAATGAAATTTGGGGGCAGACTTTCAGATCATCATACTGGTCATGAGTGAGACTGCTAAGGAATTATTTATTTTTGCAATGTATATGTGTATGTGTGTATGTATGCACATATATACGTCAGTGTCTGGCTGTAGGAAACTAGTAGCTTGAATAGTGTAAGTATTTCTGCTTTTCAGTTCTTAGAAAGTTTATTTAAAATGGTAATTGCCACTTTCTACAAAGTTTACTCAAATAGGCGTGTGAATGAAATCATTGGGTATTTGTGTTATCTGTGTTGGAAAACATTTAATTTGAATGTTCTAACTCTGCAGTAGTTAATGCACCATTTAACTTCTCTATGTCTTGTGGTCTGCTGCATTTGGTCATTGACTTCTCTAGGAGTGTTTGTGTCACATACTTATTTTCCTGTTGTTGGCATATACTTGTTCCTCTATCCTGTCAATTTTGGTTGTCTTTGTTCTTATTCATCCTTAATCTGTTTAGTATGCTTTTTGTTTCTTTCTCTTGGTCTATCTCTAAAGAAATTTCTTATTTCATTTGAAAAATTAACTTTTCATCTGTTTTACCTGTCTGCTCTTTTGTCTGCCTTTTCGCCCCATTATGTTGTTTGTGTCTTCTGAAACATGAACACTAAAAACTTTCCTTTGCATCCTGAGACTTCAAGTTGAATTTCTGTTCAGTACTAACATTTATAGTTTCTGACATGATTTCTCTCTCTCTCTCTCTCTCTCTCTCTTTTTTTTTTTTTTTTTGGTAAGTTTCTTTAGAAATATATTTTAGAAATATATTTTAAATCTGGGGCTAGTCCCTTGGCATAACAGGTCAAGTCTCTGCCTGTGACACCAGCATCTCATATAGATGGCAGTTTGAATTCTGGTGGCTCCACTTCCAGTCTAGTTCCCTACTAGTACGCTGAGAAGGCAGCAGGGGAGGCCCCGTTGGACCCCTGAACCCATGTAGGACATCCGGAAAAATGTTCCTGACTCCTGGCTTCAGACTGGCACAACTCTTGCTATTGCAGCCAACTGGGGAGTAAACCAGTTTAAATGGAAGATTGTCTCTCTCTTTCTCTCTCTTGTCTCTTTGCAATTCCGCCTTTTAAATTAAAATTTAGATAATATAAATCTTTAAAAAATATATTTTAAATCTCCAAGTAAATATTCAAATTATTTTTATCATTTTCTTCTTTCTGTATTCTGAGAAACTAAATTGTGTAATACTAATTCTGTGACATTGGGTGAGAATTTTTGTTGCTTAGTACAGAGTTACTGTAAGCATTCTATTTGTTATTAAAACAGAATAGCTACTCTTTAATAGTGAGTACAGCTTTCATACAGCTAGTCAAAATAATGAAGTTATTTATTATGCTCACTGATTTTTTTTCTGATAGTGTAACTTCTCCTATTTTTGGATTGTATTTACTTGCTTGAGAGACACAGAGCCCCCAAATGCTGGTTTTACCTTAAATGCCTGCAACAGCTAGTATTAGGTCAGGCTGCACGCAGTGTAGTCCAGGTCCTCCCCCGGGTGAAAACATTTTAGTCAGGACTATTATTGACCTGTGGGGTCAGGAAACAGAGTGGATATGAAACAGAGGCAGTCCAATACCCTATGTTAGGGTCTTAAACTGCAAGGCCAAATGTTTGCCCCAGATCTCCCATTTTGTACTTCTACACACCCCTCCATCTTTTGGTATTGATTAGCTGCCTGAAAGTTTTAAATTTTTATTATCCTCCTAGAGAACTGACCCTCTTAATAATATATGACTTTTTTTTTTTTTTTTTAGTAATGCCTGAGTATCTGTTTTGCCCAACACTCCTTAAACCATTCTGACTTTCCTTTTATACCCGGTATTTTTGCTTTAGACTTTTTAAGCCACGTCTATAAAGTAAATTCAGGTCTTTAACCTTGTAAGTCAATTTTTTAAAAAAGTTTTATTTTTATTGGAAAGTCAGATTTACAGAGAGGGAGAGACAAATAAGAAAGATTTTCCATTTGCTGGATCATTCCCTAAGTCACTGCAGTCACTGGAGCTGAGCTGATCCAAAGCCGGAAGCCAGGAGCTTATTCTGGGTCTCCCACGCAGGTGCATGGTCCAAGGCTTTGGGCCATCCTCTACTGCTTTTGCAGGCCAAAAGCAGTGAGCTGGATGGAAAGTGGAGCAGACAGGATACAAACCAGTGTCCACATGTGATTCCAGCAGATGCAAGGCAAGGACTTTAGCTGCGAGGCAACCGTGCCGGGCCCTTTCTGCCTGTCTTTAATCTTGAATCATCATAGACCTCAGCCTTATTTCTTAAAGACATACCTGTATTTAACATACATTGGAGCCCATGAAGGCACTGGTTTTTTGAGGACTTAGAGTAAGAGCTGTTGAAAGGAGAAGGAAAAGTAACATTAGGTTAGCAAAATTATATGTTATCTGTTTAAGCTGATTAGCCACTGTCTTTGAGTTCAGATTTTAATCACAGAAATCCTGTTCAGAATTTCTGTGTCACATAGTGATCTAGATGGTG